AAGGTGTCCCGGTCATGTTGTGATGGTGTCCCGGTCATGTTGTGATGGTGTCCCGGGCATGTTTTGATGGTGTCCCGGTCGTGTTTTGATGGTGCCCCGGTCGTGTTGTGACGGTGTCCCGGTCATGTTTTGATGGTGTCCCGATCATGTGATGGTGGCGCTGTCATGTTGTGATGGTGTCCCGATCATGTTTTGATTGTGTCCCAGTCATGTTGTGATGGTGTCCCGGTCCTGTTTTGATGGTGTCCCGGTCATGTTTTGATGGTGTCCCGGTCATGTTGTGAGGGTGTCCCGGTCATGTTTTGATGGTGTCCCGGTCGTGTTGTGACGGTGTCCCGGTCATGTTTTGATGGTGTCCCGGTCCTGTTGTGATGGTGTCCTGGTCATGTTTTGGCGGTGTGCCGGTTATTTTTTGACGGTGTCCGGGTCATGTGACGGTGTCCCGGTCATGTTGTGATGGTGTCCTGTTCATCTTGTGATGGTTTTCCCGTCATGTCATGTTGGTGTCCCGGTCACCTTGTGATGGTGTCCCGGTCATGTTGTGATTGTGTCCCAGTCATGTTGTGACGGTGTCCCAGTCATGTTGTGATGGTGTCTCGCTCATGTTGTGACGGTGTTCCGGTCATGTTTTGATGGTGTCCCGGTCACCTTGTGATGGTGTCGCGGTTATGTTGTGATGGTGTCCCAATCGTGTTGTGACGGTGTCTCGGTCATGTTTTGATGGTGCCCTGGTCATTTTGTGATGGTGTCCCGGTTATGTGATGATGGTGTCCAAGGAAGAGATGGTCGATGTGTTGAAAACAGCAGCTGTTTCCAGATTGTTCTTTTTGCCCCGGTTTGTATCTTGCTATTGGGGTCTCCAGCTGGGCTAATTTGATCTCTCACCCATCAATGATTTGAATCGGTGGGCGGTTGTGGGAGGAATCCTTCCTTTCGTCTGACGGACTGAATTTGAGGTCACGATTCTGATGATTTTGGCTAGCACGGTTGAGCAGACGTCTAATGGCATCATCATTCAGGCTGATCGTACTGATGTTGTTTGGATCCTATGGATGCCTGGAAGCTCTAGGTTTCTCTTGAAACCCTTGTTGGAAGAAGCGCAACGGTTTCTCGCTGGTGTTCTGCAGATGTGTGATGAAGACACGTTTGTATAGAATCGTAAGGACCCTGGCCAACTTGATGTGGATCTACCTGGAGCTTTTTTTCAAGGACGCCCCGTGGGCCATTGGGTGTTTGGCATTGACCCACCAGCCATGACGCATCGACCAAACATGACACTAGTTCCTCATGATGGCCTTTCTTAGGACTCCATAATGATGCGCTACCTGGCATCGCTTGTGTGCTTTGTATCTCTATTTCTCCTGTCGGTCAGCTGGGATCGTTTTGAAGAAAGAGAGAAGCACGAGGTGCTCCATGTTTTGAAAGTGGTTGAATGATTTGCAGCACGACAGTCAATCCAGTTGGAGATTCTTTGCCACTTCAATATGTAGCAATGCCTGACAGGCAGCATCCTGTGATGACCTCGCTGTTGCGTTGAACCAGCATGATGCTCTAGCAGTCAAATGAGCAAAAGTTTTCAAGCGTCGCGGGACACTATCAGGTCAGCAACCTTCTTTGGTGGTGGCATAGCTGCTGACCATCAAACAAAAGATACAACACTATTGGCTTGCGGCACATTTAGGGGCAAGCTGCAACCACAAGCCATTCCGGAGTACTCCCAGCTCCCTCTCGTTGGAACGCAACGGATCGTTGCGCCTCAGAAATCTGACGGCGTGTAGCAGCGTAGCAAGCCATTCCGTTGGAGGTCGTTGCCAGTCAAAGCTTACTGAGCAGCAACCTAAGCAAAGGCCATGATGAACCCCGTCGTAGTCAGCAATCGGCGATAATACAGAGAAGTTGCTAGTATTTGCTGGTGACTTGAGAATTCATCATGACCTGTCGACGTTGTACAAAGGCAGCATTTGCTGCCCCCAAATGGTGTCGTTTCCTTTTGGTGTCACGTAAGAAAAGGAGCAGGTGTGAGCAGGTGTGTCAGAATGTCAGGGTGCGATTGGACCGCCGACTGGAGGTTGTGTGAGGTTTCAACTAGTTGCGTCGGCCTGTGTGAGGGTTCTGAGAATGATCTCGGACCAGCTGATTGTGAGACACTTTGGCATCCTAAAGCATTTGGTCCCCACAGAGCTGGTCCTGGGACGAGTACCAGATTTTCAGGCACCTCCAAAGCCTGGCTGAAGCTGGCGGCTGGAGAAAAGGCCCAGGCAGATGTTGGATTTTCATGGTTGTGTCCGAAGCATTTGAGAGAACAAGCACAGGTTTTGGTCGCTGCAGCCTGTTGTGCTCCTGCTGGCTTGATGCCAAACACCCAGATGTTGTTTTGGCAGTGGAAGGGTGAATGAGGAAAGTTCATCAATTATGTGTGTGCGCGGGTGTGTGTCTGAATGCTATTTTTTGTGATGTCGGGATCTTGTTCTCCCGATATATAACTATTCTTTTAACTCTAGTTACTAGATCCCTTTTTTCCAATGAATTTGGGTTCGTTTGTTCGTCCCTTTTCCATGGCTGCCTCACCGTCCCATTCTGTCCAATTGGTCCAATTTGTCCTTGGGTGGCTGGATCCATCTTGGTTCGCGGAGGCTGGAGATTGGCACCTACTGCGGACACTCGGCCATTCGCTTGGCAGCAGCACGACCGGACAGTCGAGTGGTGCTGGAGCCTCGGACACGATCGTTTTGGGTCCCGGTGGGGTGGGGGCGGACCTCGTGTGGTCGCTCAGGACGCTAGAAGTGGACCCAGTCCATGTTGGTGGACCCAGAGAGTTCGCAGTGAGCTCCAGAATCACTGACCTTGGTGACCTTGACCTTGACTCAAACCACTAGGCCATCATTGCACGTGCTCTCGTGGAATTTGCTGGGCTTTCGAGCTCTGTCCAAGTCCAAATCCCAGGAAAAGCATGTTAAAGTGGTTAAAGGTTGAAGCAGCTCCGTAGCTGGCATCGTTAGGTCTGGACAGGCTACAGCCGGGATCTCATCCCCTTCTTGGCCAACAGGTATCGCGTGAGAAGCTCAGGTTCGGAGAAGGAATCAGTTGTACTTGATCAACGATTCCGTTGAAGCTCTTGAAGCATTACAAGCAAACCCGAATATTGGAAGATATGGGGACCCGAGGATGGGCTATAGTCCTCTTTTGGTGAAGATTTCTAATGTTGCGAGGACTCCAAGGGCACCTTTGGCTTTGTGTTCATGGACCAACGGGGATCTCGCTACGAGGAGAAACACACCAAAATGCGGTGTTTGATTTGGTGGGGCGTTTGTCCAGTCGACATGTATAGACTTATGAACTGTACTTATGGACGCTGTACTGTATCTTTTTGATGCTTTCACTCGTTTTCAGTGCACACTGCACAGACCTACCTACAGATTGTTGATAGACAAGCACCAGGAGGATCTTGCAAGCTTACAGCGCCTGAGCCTTCTACGAGAGGAGGCTTCACAGACACTTCTCTTTCCAGACTTGGATGCAATGAGCACTTGAACAAATGAGTGCTGTTGCAGGCTGTAGTTGTTGCTTCAGCCTGAGCTGGTTTGTGCAAACAGAAAGACATGTCAGGGCTTGAGAAGCCAATTACTTAGTGGAAGGACAAGTCTACTACTACAGTGAAATTGCCCTGCTATTCACAGAGCTTCTTTGTTCTACCTGTCAGAAGAGAACTCTCCGCACTTGCTAACCTGCCCAAGCCTTCCAAAATTCTTGTTTCTTTTGCCCAGGCAGACAATGTCCTGAAGCCCGGTGCGCCACGCTACTTGTGGCAGGTCTGCAGATCTGGGGCCTTTGATACCGAGGCGGCCAGTGACCGACGATCTGACGTTTTTGAACTCATTTGATGTGTATGTAGTATATATATATATAATATATATATATATGGATCGAAGAAGCGCCCAGAGTCCGTCTACAAAGAGAGACACAGCTTCAGCCATGGTCCACCCATGTTCCGCCGCGGTCGAGCCATGGTCCACCCATCAGGTCGTGAGAGTCTTCGAGTTTGCGATGCCAGTTGAGGCCGGAGTTGGCCGAGAATGAGGCTGTTTTCTGCGGCTTGGTTTTTATAGGGTATGAGAACGGTTCGAAGAAGTCATATTCGTTGACTATCTATAGTACTGCCGTTCGAACCATTTCTAAAGCAGCCTTGGGCTGCTGGCAGGGTCAACGTGTAATTCTCATTTTTCAGTGCCTTCAGAAACACCCGTCTTGCGTTTTTTTTGCTTCGAACTTCTGGTTCAGCTGCCGTTTGCACCATGGGATGATTTTCCTCCCTTTTTCAAAACAACCTGTCGCTGGTTCACCTGCGAGGACTGGATGTCGGTGAGTGTCGTGAGGGGAGGAACGACAGCAGCGACAGCTGCGTTTGCAACACCCAGTGAGCTGGAGGAGCTGAGTCAGGTTGGATAGATGAGCATTCTGTGAACGAAAAGAAGGATCTTGATTTTGAACATGATGTAGATGAGACTTGATGAAACGAACGGTATGATCCATATGATATATGTTCAAAGTTGAACTGACACTGCGTTGGGATGTCCTTCCAGCAATTATCGGGACGTTTGCAAGATTGATCATTTTTGTCCGACGACGACTCACGACTGCCGTAGTCGCTTTGTGTTTACCTCACCATGTCCAGGTCAACGCTTGTTTGACATTTCTTGATCAACTGAATTTCTCATTGTTTGAACGAGCCATATATAATATATTGACCTTGGCTTTGTCGTTTTTGAATGAGCTGTATAATAACGCGTTGTACCCTTTGGTTCCCGAAAGAGATGGGACTCCAGCTGCCTGAACATGTCAGGTGGCAGATGAGATGAGGAACCGAGCGGGGACCTCAGAGGTTCTGTCGGCATCCTTGCATCCTTGATAGATCCTTCTTCGAGTCTACAACCAAGTGGCGTTTTGATGTCTCGAGCAAGATATTATCGTTATCGTTCTCCTCTTTCGCCTGGGCATCAAAACTCCAATTGCTAAGGCTCAAACCTCTGGAGGCACGTGCCAGTTCAGTGTTGTCTTCTAGGTATTTGCACTCTGGTTTTGGTAATTTGCAGTTCCACAGTTTCGTACTCGCTTCTTTAGCACTTTGCTTGTGCTTGCCCTTTTGCTTCCAGGCGTCAGCTTTACAGATTGGTCCAGTTTTGCAGAGAAGATGCAACTTGCCTAAAACACTCTTTGGCTGGCCAGAAACTTTGCAAAGCTCCTGAATCAATCTCCTTATATGATCTTGTATTCATATGTTATTTTTTTAAATGTTTGTCGCAAGTAGATGTAGAGCTTGAGTAATTCAGATGACTGTGTGTTTTGTGCCTGCTTCTGTTTTTCGTGCGTTGCTGGTACTGCCCTAAATGGCAAAGTGGCACTAAATGAGACGGGAATGGCAAGCGCAATGACTGGTCTATGGGCCAAAACCCCGGGGTGAACCACTGCAACGGTCCATGCGGACCATTGAGCTCATGGCCCGCTCAGGCAAGAAGGACTCCATAAGCATGGCATCTCAGCCACCCTGGACGTTCATAGCTTTGCGGGCCGTGAAAAGGGAGTGCAGCCTGCTAGTAGCCAGGAGTTGACATTTTGGAAGAGTCGTGGAACTCACCCAGTGCTTGCGATGTTTCTTATCTTGACATCTTCATACAAAGACAGTGACAGATTTGTCAAATCAAGTCAATAGACTTGATGGCACGCTTATTGGCTCTTGTGATCCGGGTGTTGATGCAACGTGAAAGCCAACACACCAACAAGAATTGTTCTGGCAGTGAGGTCGTGAGGTGGGTAACTGAAGCTGAGAACTTGCAGATCTAGCGGTCACCAATCCAACTGCGACGGCAAATACCTGTGTTGATCGCACCAACTGGTTGTGTTCTCCATGCGCAGTAGCCCCCATGTGGCCCCAATGCTTGCATTTGCAACATATTTATCATTCAGGAGATGCTTTGGATAGTGAGGATGTTGCATGCCCGCATGACCGTTCTGGCTTGAAGGGTGCCCCGCCCTGCGCAAGAGGCTTCTGCGCAAAAGGGTTGCTGGGAAGGCACTGAAGTTTTCTAGCGTGTCATGTGAAAGATAGGATTCAGATACTGTTTGCACCCCTTATTTTGTGAAAGAGAGGAGCTTTCCAAGCCATTCTCAGGTTATTGCTGCGCAAACGTGGTGCATCGGATAGATGCCATAGCGTGCGTGTTGATGGAGTAATCCACAATGGGGCAGAACTGAGCTTAGCCAAGCGGTGCTGATCCATAGCCGTTCCCAATGTTGATGATTTGATTCGGATGCAAATGAACCAATCAATTGACGGAGGGATATTGATATCAAAAGGGTCTCGATGATGCGCTATTGAGGCGAGAGAAGCTTTTTTGGGCTTATCAGGCATGTGAACTTGTGTGAGCGTGCTTTATGGTTCATCCTGCCAACCTTTAGACTTTAGCCTTTTCCAAAGCTGAAGTTCTGAAAGTCTGACTAGCAATTGCCAAAGCTTCCTGACATGTCAAGTGGACAACGTGACGGTGCTGCTTAGCTTCTCATACAGAATCTGGTGTTGTGCAGACTGACTCCAGGTGAACGATGATGAGATGAAGTCAGGCGAGAGACAGTCTGAGTCTTCGAAACATTGCGTTCTCTCAAGCCGCGCGAAATTGCTTAAAGCCGTGTCAAAGCCGTGTAGTCTCTTGGAGTGCGCTGAAATGCGAGCCGTACATGCCTTCCATTGTTTTCCCTTGGCCATGGCAGTCTCTTGGAGCTTTTGACTCTAACTGTCATGCTTTGGAGGTGCTCGGCAGAGGTTGGCACAGAGCCAGGTGGGGACACCACAACCGAGTTTGGGACACTTCTGCTTGTTTCGGTGTGTAAAAAAAGAGATGTGTCCTTTTGAACCTTGTTTGTTTGTTTGTTCCCCAATAGCCATGCTATGGGGTCTTGCAAAACTAATAGGCGGACGGGCGCCGTTGGGTCACCGTCAGAGCTGGTGGGCGGATGGTGTCCCGGTCATGTTTTGATGGCGTCCGGGTCATGTGATGCTGGTGTCCCGGTCATGTTTTGATGGTGTCCCGATCATGTTTTGATTGTGACCCAGTCATGTTGTGATGGTGTCCCGGTCCTGTTTTGATGGTGTCCCGGTCATGTTTTGATGGTGTCC